TATAAATTAAATAAAATAAAATAAAATAATATATATATATATATATATATATATATATATATACACGTGTGTGTGCATGAGAAGACCGTTGTCACCTTCTCACTCTTCTCAATTCTTTTTCTTTTAAACTCTTGTTTTCTCTATATAATTTCACGTAAAGTTAGYAAGGAAATCRAGGTAACAAATATATATATTYGGAATCYATTCTYCGAACYCTTCTTAAAAGTATAAAATTTCGTTCATTTTTATTATGGTGTTTACGTTAGGGTTCTTGAGACCGGTTTATAAATTATGTTTATATCTAAGTTTACGRAYTGATGTTGTTAAAATTATGATATATTTCATGCTTAGAATGTTAGGATTGGTTAAATTGATGTAGAAATAAAAAGGTTAGATTATAGTTTCAATATGGTTAGATTCTKGGTATATGTTTAACCGCACGCCAATTGTTCGATTAAATRTCGAAAAGAGTAAAAATGCATGATTAAGCTTAGGTAAGCRACCATTGRACTTTTTTTACTGTTTAGTATGTTGAAGTATGTTTATAGCATGTAAATATAGCGAATCATGGAAGTTGGATCATAAAAGTTAGTCGGGAATTRYGGAATCGAATTTTACCGACAATGCAACTCTCGTRTTTTGACAGTGTATAATTCACAAACCAAAAATCGTAATAATCTCGTATTTTKCATTYAGAAAGATCTTACTGTATACTACAACTTTCATGAAGGGTCGAACATCCAGTTATGACTCTAAGCGGCTCGAAACAGTGTGTTTTTGGGGCTGTTTGCACTATATTCGRGATTAATCTGCAGTTTTGTAAAATTCATATAAAATAGATGAATGAGCCAAATGAGATGATTTCAAAACCAATAGACTYGCATGATACCAATCTACAACTTTTATTTAGACAATAAAATYTGGATTGATCTCTAAGTAGGATAAAAATGCTTAGAAATAAGAGAGACGGAAGCGGTTGGATTGAAAATGMATAAGGCTAGTGTTATGGTTGAGTTTTCAACKCGTATTCGGYTGTACTTCTTGAAGTCTACGTTGTTTAAGTACATTAAGACATAATGAATTTTATTCGAATAGTTATGTTATGGTTTTTATGCTTTGTAAATAGTAACCCGTTTATGCATTCGTTAGGCAYGCGGACAAATCCAACTTGATCGTGAATTTCCCTCAAATTCGGTTAAGGTACGGATATCATATCTTCTTTGACACRGGATAGTCATTTGCATAGGGCTTCCTAATCCGGATAATCTATGATAAATTCCGAATAATCGATTCCAAATTTCCTTTATGCTTATTAAATGTTATTGAAYTTGTTTYCTTTTGAACTATGACTTATATTCTTATTTGGAACATAAATCACTTGATCACTTGACTTGTTAGATTGTATTTATTGTGAACTCGTACTATAGACTCAATAATCGGAGCACCGGTATTGAGATGTTTYCATGGTGGCTAAAACGATCATGGCGTCCTCATTTTTATAGTYCTTAAAGATAGACTTGATTATGTACCAATCGAATAGAGGGCGTATGGATCAATCCTAKAAACCGTTATCGGATAATAAATTGTGGTCGTGGTTAAATCCACGGAGAGGATTGTTGTRTTGTGCTCATACCCTTTTCTTCATTTATGCCTGAACGGACTGATCATCTTTTGGGAACAACGCGTCCTYGTGATGCGRTTTGCTCTTCGRACCCTTGATATGCCTTCGGGGCATTTTGACTTTCTTTTGGATTATCACTTATCGTTATAAATTGCTTTTGAACTTGTTATCTCATATTCATTGTTTAGTTATTATTATCCGTTCACTGAGCATTAAGCTCAACCGAGATTTTCTTGTCCTCGACAGGTACATGACTTAGTAGGGATTTTGGGATAAGAGCTACGGAGATGACAATATTGAAGATAAYTCATTACGTCATACTTTTATTAACTTTTTGATGACTAATGTAGATAAACTGGTAATTTAAGACCGTATTTTCAGACATGTTATCTTCGTTTGTAATTATGTAATTATCTTTTGATAAATTATTAGATGCTCTGTTTTATATAATGCATTGATTTTTTTTTAAAACCAATTATGGCATCTCCCGTTTTTAACCACACGGACGGGCGTGTTACCCTTATGGTGCCGCAAATTGTGATGTCTCAATTTACTTTTGCAGTAGACCCACTTTCATCTGGAAGCGTCATAAAATGTCAGAAAAAAGCACAAGCAGAAAGTTTCTTTGCAAGGTTGAATGGCGGTTTCTTGGCTAATTTTTTAAGAAAAAACTTAGGTTTTTACCCATATTATTTATGATAATAAGTTAATAACCCCTACATACAGCCCAACCTGAACTCTACCATGGAATTAAATATCTTGAGTTTGTTTTGTTTGGTTATCCCTTCTCAATTGGGTTTAAGTKAGATACATTTGCAACAAATAGAGAACAAGGATGCAAGCAAACCCACCCTTGAATCACATCACAATCAGTGATGCCAAGTCGAGCTAATGGTCAAACACGGTTCAATGGGTTGGCGAGTMTTCTTGATGAGGACTCGAACTCAGCCCAAGAACATCGATCAGAACTATGTTCCATAAAACGAGTTTCATTTAAAACGCTTAAAAATAACAATTAGAACACATGTTCGATTCAAGAAACAAAAGCTTAATAATAAATCCATGCATATGAACATATACATGACTCAAATACCTTGTTTAGAATTTGACTCCAACTACTATAAACTTGAACTCGCATCCTTGTTAATTTGAACTCAGAACTCGAACCARCTCGATTTACATTACAAAAGCTCGACCCTTTTTGCAGTGCCATTTGCAAAGTCCAATTACAAGCACTCGGACGATATGCATTTTGCAAAATGTTTCCATGATGTGCAACTATGTCACAAATGGGTAGAGATGCACAAAAGGGCGTGAACTCGACGGTGTCAAAGGCCAATCGGGCCGATAATTTGTCACAGTGCACAGGCTAAGCCCACCAGGCGCTGAAAAGCATGTCACTGTGTATTTTGTATAAGCAAAATCAGGCTTTGCACWTATACCGGAATCAGTTGGTTTGCCATTCAAAATTTTAAATTTCATTTTATTTCAGCCTTCAACATGAGCAGATCAGCAGAACTGGACTCATGAAACTTCCGTGCGGAACAAAATGAAATATTCGGATGCCATAAAATGTCGCTACAAAAACTCTTTTTAAGTGTTTTCAATACCCCTTTTTATTCAATCCTCTGCTTCGGAGGTTTTGACTTGTTTAGGAGGTGCSAAACTCCTGCTAAGCTGAGACCTTGTCCAGGGATCCAACGGTGGCCTTTCAGCTGGTTGTGGGGCTGGGGGTTTTGACTGCCTAAGCTCGTTCTCCCTGTCTATGAACCTGTTGGATAAGAAAAATGTTTAAGAGAATTACAAGTAATATTAAATCATCAAAACTAATAGAAGAAAAAAGTCTTACTCTATATACGCCATTGGTGCGGCATCACCAACTCTAATCCGAGTTCGAAGCACTCGTGTATACCCTCCTGCCCTATCTCYGCACCACCAATATATATATCGTTTAACCAATAGTTGATATCAGAGTTAAAAAAAAATGGCAGGTTTGATGTTCACTTGTATCTGTAAGCCAGCTCTGTAAATAGTTTGTGAATAACATCATCTCCTCGCACAAAAGCAGCAGCACGCCTCGCAGCAAAAAGGGTTCCCTGTACATAAGAATAAATCATTGCAGTTTTGACATTCCTTCGATAAAAACAAGTTCCAAAAGTTTTCACACAGCAGCAGCACCACCAAAAAGGTTCCAAAAGTTTAGCCTTAGATTTGGAACATTCTCTGTATCTCCATCTACAATGATATATCATTTTCATTACTGAATCTAATTTAATGAATACATGTGTCTTATGAGAGAACAATGCTTGCTTGATTAAAGAGAATAATAACAAGAGAACTTTGTATAGCAGAAGCTATAGACATAAATACTACAAATGTTCAGCTTTCCATGCAGTTTAGTACTATCAATCAATTGTATAAAATACCCAATGACATAAGAGGATTCTTGTGGGCTAAAATCAATATCGTTAATCATATGTAATGCTAATAATGAGCAAATAGGTAATTCAGTTTAAGAAAATCCCAAAACAGAAAACAGAATGAAAAATGGAGTATCATAATGGAGTGAATATAAAAGTTCCATGCTACACACACCTCTTTCCCAAGCTGCACCATGTTATCAGCAAGACGACGTACTTCTTTTGCCTATAACAATTACGAGGAGATAGAATAAGTAATAAAATAGTGATTTTAAAACAACTTTGGCTAGATTTCAAATTTCACAAACATTCCAGATACAAACAACCCCAACCATCTATTCCGATCAAAAAGAATGTCTCTAATCTGTTTAACCTTACGAGTAAAACTTAATGAGGGAATATGGAATGTAGGTGTTTAAGCTACAAAACAAGTACAGTAATTCCCGCTTGATGGTCAGAGAGGGGTATTTATTAGAGCTGCAAATAAATTGAACACAATGATGGTACATGAACCAAATATATAAATTTGAAGTTTGAATACTTATGAATTGCAAAGAACAAATTGGCTAGCATTTTGTAAGAAATATTGGATCAGGTCATTGTCATATGAGTACAATATAATATATGAGTATCATTCTGTCAAGAAATAGAGAAATCGATGTAGAGAGATTTTTTGAAGAATTGAGAAATTGAAGGAATCTTATTTACGAAATTGGGATTATCTTTACAAATGAGGATAGCCCAACTATTTATAGGTAACGATGAAGACACACAAGCAAAAAAACAAAACTAACTATTTCAATTAAAGCCACATCTAACAAATCTCCACCTTGGCTATAATTATAGTACAGAAAAWTTTTACTTCCAGCTATCAATGTTTAGGAAATCTAAACAATGTCTAAACTTGTTCAAAGAAACGGGTTTCCGTCAGTGCATCAGCTGGATTGTCATCGGTCTTCACTTTAATTCTCCTTTCCGAACGTATAAAGTGATAACGAACATCTATATGTTTCGTWCTCTCATGATGCACAAGGGCAAGACAAAGAGCACTCAGGCTGTCACAAAAAACTAGAGTCTGATCGTTGATGAAACCCAAGATCTCCAAGCAAACCTTTCAGCCAAAATCCCTTCTTTTGTAGCCTCCGTAAGAGCCATATATTCAGCCTCTATTGTAGACAAAGCAATAGACGGCTGTAACATTGCTTTCCAGCTCACTAATGCATCTCCAACAGTGAACACATATCCCATTAATGACCTCCGTGTGTCAAGGTCAGCTGCCTAATCAAAATCTTAAAATCCAGCCACAATACAATCTCCTTCTCCTCCATAAATGAGACCTACATCAGCTGTGCCTTTGAGGTAACGAAAAATACGTTTCACGGCAACCCAATTTCTTTCCCCGGATAAGCCATGTAGCGTGAAACAACACTAACAGCATGAGCTATGTCAGGTTTAGTGCAGACCATGACATACATAAGACTTCCTACAGCATTAGAATAAAGAACTTTGCTCATATACTCCACCTCAGCCTCTGTTTGAGGTGCCAAAGCCACTGATAATCTGAAATTTGTTGATGAAGGTGTGYTTACACGCTTTGCAGAAGCCATACCAAATCGAGAAAGTATCTTCAAAATGTAACTTTTCGGGGACAAGAAAAGTTTACGTCTAGATCTATCTCRGATAATCTCCATACCGAGAATCTTTCGAGCAGCCCCCAAATCTTTCATGTCAAACTCAGAATTAAGGAGTCCCTTTAACTTCTTAATTTCAGCCATATCACGAGCCGCTACTAACATATCGTCCACATAAAGTAGCAGATACACATGTGACCCATCAACACCTTTCTTATATTATGATATATAGAGCAATCATAAGGGTTCTAGTAAAACCATGACTCACTATAAAACTRTCAAAACGTTTATACCACTGTCTCGGAGATTGCTTTAACCCATAAAGTGATTTCTTGAGCTTACAAACATAGTTTTCTTTACCTTGAGCTACAAAACCCTTCGGTTGACTCATATAGATTTCCTCTTCAAGCTCACCATGTAAGAAAGCCGTTTTGACGTCCAACTGTTCCAACTCCAAATTTGCTTGTGCTACTAGTGCCAACAACACCCGAATGGATGTATGACGCACCACCGGCGAGAAAACTTCATAATAATCAAGCCCTTGCTCTTGGCTATAACCTCTAGCCACCAAACGGGCCTTGTATCTCACACTTTCAGCTCCTGGCAGCCCCGTTTTCGGCTTAAAGATCCMCTTACTGGTCACAACTTYTCTGCCTTGAGGTAACTTCACTAATTCCCAAGTTCTATTCTTGTGAAGGGATTCCATCTCTTCACTCATGGCTGCTATSCACACATCAGCCTCCTTCGTTGTGGTTGCTTCTTTGTAAGTAGATGGCTCAAAGAACTCCATTTCTTCAGCAACTTGCAGAGCATAGGCCACCATGTCATCAAAACCATATCAAATAGGCYTACCAACTTGTCTTCGGGGCGTATCTAATGCTATAGATCAAAATTCTGCAGATTGGTGCTGATTTTCGAGCACAATAAGTTCAGTTTGAGGCGATTTACTGTGCTGTCCAGCAGTATTCTCGCCTTCATCGGRACCATTTAACTCGTACTCCACCTGTTCGAACACACTCTCCTCTTGAACACTTGGAGTAGATGAATACCTCACRCCACGTAACATACTCTCCTCATCAAACACTACATCACGGCTGAGAATCATCATTCTTTTATCAAGAGACCAAATTTTGTAGCCCTTTACTCCAATTCCGTATCCCATAAACAGCCCCTTCTTTGATCTTGGTTCCAATTTTCCTTCACTAACATGGTAGTATGAAGGACAACCAAATATCTTAAGCCCGTGTAATCAGCCGGCTTACCAGACCACACCTCAATAGGAGTTTTACAATCAATTGCCGTTGTCGGGGATCTATTCACCAAGTAGCAAACCGTGTTTAACGCTTCTACCCAAAAACTTCTAGTCAACCCTGCATTTGACAGCACACATCTCGCTCTTTGCGGCAGCATTTTATTCATCCTTTCGGCTACTCCATTCTGTTGTGAAGTGTGCCTAACCGTTTGGTGCCTTGCAATTCCTTCATCTTCACAAAACCGATCAAACTCACTTGAACAAAACTTCAATCCATTGTTCGTTCACAACCGTTTTATCTTCTTCCCAACTTGATTTTCAATGAGAACTTTYAACCTTTAAACTTCTCAAATGACTCACTCTTATGCTACATGACAAATACCCAAGTCATCCTAGAGTAGTCGTCAATAATTGAGAGGAAGTAACGACCACCACCAAGTGAAGAAACTTGCGAGGGACMCCGACAATCAGCGTGAAGGTAATCTAAAGTCGACTTGGTTGTATGGACAGCTTTTGAAAAACTTACTCTCCTTTGTTTTCCAAAGATGCAATCCTCACAAAAGCCCAATTCAACAACTCTATGACCTCCAAGAAGTCCTTTCTTGTTGAGAATTACCATGCCTTTCTCACTAASATGCCCTAGCCTCATGTGCCACAGACGTGTCAAATCTGACTCATTCTCTACAGGATTAAGGGTTGTTGCTGCTGATCCAACRACCRTGCTACCTTCAAGCACATACAAGGTACCTCTCTTGACTCCTTTCATCACTACTAATGCACCCTTAATGACCTGAATTACTCCACCCTCACCAGTGTACTTAAAGCCTTTTGAGTCGAACACTCCCAAAGAGATTAAGTTTTTTTTNCCTCACCAGTGTACTTGAAGCCTTTTGAGTCGAACACTCCCAAAGAGATTAAGTTTTTTTTCAACCGGGGTACATGACGAACATCTGTTAGAGTTCTCACTATCCCATCATGCAATTTAATGCTCACCGATCCAATTCCAACAACATTGCACTACATGTCATTTCCCATCAAGACATTTCCGATTGCAATCTTATCACAAGTGTTGAACCAATCCTTATGTGGTGTCATGTGAAATGAACATGCGGAATCAAGAATCCATACCTCTGAATGACTTTTGCAATCAACCACCGAGAGCACCAAATCATCCTCCGAACCTGAATCATCTTTTGCTACAGCAGCGGATCCTTTTGACTTCAGTTTTGGACACTCATTTTTCCAATGACCCGGTTCTTTACAATATTGGTAGCCATCCCTTGGGTTTCCACTTGAACCYTAGTCTTCGATCCTGATCGGCCTCTACTTTCCCACTTCCCTTTTTCCTTTCTCTCGGCCTTTATCTCTACCTCTGTCTCTATCTCTGTTTTAACACCGACAAGCCTACTGATTGGCTTTCAGAACTACTACCTRAAGCTTTATTGTGCAACTCTCGTGAGTGCAAACTTAAACGGACTTCTTCCCTAGTAATTGTCTCTAACAACATTCTCATATGAAGTGGGCAATGAAACCAATAAAATGAGGGCGACATCCTCATCGTCAATCTTGACTTCAACATTCTTCAAATCCATAAGAATGGAGTTTAACTCGTCAAGATGTTCCTTCAAAGGCATTTCCTCCTTCATTCGTAATGAGAATAACCTTTGTTTTAACAACTTGTTCATTAAGGACTTGGTCATGTAGAGACTCTCTAGTTTCAGCCATAAAGACGCAGCAGTCTCCTCATCGGCAACTTCATAAATCACCTCATCCGCCAAAGGCAACAAGATGGTAGAGTGRGCCTTCTCATCTTGTTGTACAAACTCAGATTCAACCATATCTTCAGGCCTTTCACCAGCCAAGGGAAAACAGATGCCTTGTTTTAGGAGAGCTCTCATCTTAATTCTCCATAAGCTGAAGTTGTTATTTCCTGTAAACTTGTCTATCTTGATCATTTGTGGAAGTAATTTCTGAAATCTTGAAAAAGAACTATGGTACAAGATCCAATGCTGARAAATCAAGAACAAATATCCAGACTAATCTTCAATTRAGGCAGCAATTTCTAAATTGGCTGTCCAAAATCAGCAATTTAAAATTTGATCCCCAAAAATCGACCATTCAAGAAATCAAAACATCAAGTTTTGATTGTTGGAMACACGTCGATACCTCCAATTGAACACTTAACAACGAAATTGATTGTAGAAGAATCAATTTAGACCGATGAATTTTTGAGATTTGACTGTTGTTGCCGTTTTCCTCAAATTGACTGTTGAATCYGTCAACTTACACCATCGATTTCAGAATCGAGAAGCTCCACCTTKAATCGAACACCAAATTGACTCAATCGACTACCCACWGAAAAACGATTAGCGAAAACGATTCCAGAAAAAACGACTTAGGAGTTTAGCGACTAGCGATTGGAAGGAATCCTAACGCTCTGATACCACTTTGTCAAGAAATTAGAGAAATCAATGTACAGAGAACTTTTRAAGAATTGAGAAATTGAAGGAATCTTATTTACGAAATTGGGATCATCTTTACAAATGAGAATAACCCAACTACTTATAGGTAACAATCAAGATACGCAAGGAGAAAAAAAAACTAACTACTTCAATGAAAGCCACATCTAACAAATTTAATCAATGCAAATTTACTAAAAACAAGAATGTAAACTGCTAGGAGGTCTCACCTTGGCAACAGTAGTTTCTATGCGTTCGTGCTTCACCAACTGAGAGACCATGGTCCTGCAGAAGCAAAAAACTTTTAATGTTGTCTTCCTAGGTGGTGTCAGGTGTGTAATGGCAGACAAAAAAAATTAATCACGAACCTAAGCATGGACATTCGATGACCAGTAGGACGATTGAGCTTCCTGAACTTTGTCATAATGCTTAACCAAAATAGCAKATGTAAACACCTATAATGAAGATTGAGAGGTTAGATATAAGATTAGTGAAGAAGAGGGAGCTGCTTTGTTGTTGTACTTATTAAGTTATTGGTTCTTAATACTTTGACATACAGATTCCTAAAGTGAAGTAGGCCAAAATAATAACTATAATCCCACGATCCCATAATCAGTCCACTTCTTCTTTTAAGGCAGAAGGGAATATTCATTTACTCCCTCAACTATGTTGAATGAAGTATGATATGCACAGCTTTAGATGCATATAGATCGACAATCAAATGGGAAAATCAAGTTGATTGATGATCTACACCAAAAGTATATTACAGTAGCCRAAAATTATTGCACTAACCACACCAAAATGATGCTTATACTCCCTCAATCCCATATCCCTCCCAAYTTTGAATATTCAAACCTTTAACTTCTGAAATTCAAATTTTACATTGATATTTAATTTTTTTAGCTCGTGTTTTCCATCTTTAAAACCATCTTTGTAGATCAATACCGATTCTTTCTCGCTAACCAAAATAGTGCTAATTGTTTTTCAGAATGAGGRCCTGTTTGATTCAAGCAGGCGAATGAAAATGACAACGAACGAATACTGCATTGATGTTGTTTGGTTAATACTGGGAAGTCATTATCATAAATGTTGTTTGAATGTTTAGCATATATAATAACTGAAATTTTGTTTTGTAGCATAGTACTACCATTTTTATAACATTAACCAATCAATTTACCATTTAAACATAACTTCAAAAAACACAATACAGAGTATGYTTCATCCAACTTCAAAAATACAATACAATGCATTTCGATGTTTCATCCGACTTCACAAATACAATACAATTGGATGTTTCAACCGACTTCAAAAATACAATACAATTCAATGTTCCATCCAACTTCAAACTACAATAACAAAAAGAGGCTTACATAGYCTACCAACTTCAAAATGCATACCAAAAGATTATGTTAAAGATCCAAATTCATCGATTAACAAGATACAAGAACCCAAGCACGTATGAYCTTCTTATGTGAGTTGGCAACATAAACAAGACCTTAACTTTGGTGGGTTCATCATAGCAAATTAAGAGCTTTACCAATATCAACAGTAGATATTCCAATACTAGAAGTTCATTCATGACTTCTTGCATCTTTTCATCACTCAAATGATCGGATTTGTTAGCATCGGTTAAAACATTAGAAGTAGCAGCATATTGTGACATCATTTGACCACAAATAGACTCAAACTTGGAATTTAAATTCAAATAACCTCGTGTCAAATTTGTATTTTGAAGTGAAGGTTGTAAATTTTCCTTCTAGGTGAGTTTTTTGCGCTTCTTTGACCTAGTGGTTGATGAATTGGAGATCCTTCTGCACCTACTTCTTGTTCACCTCCACTATCGGAAGAACACAAAAACACATTCTTGTTGTTACTACTATCCTCACATGCTTGTGATATATCCTCRGCTTTTAGCTCGTCGCTCTATCTCTACCCCCATACCAAGTCCAATTTTTCGCAAATATGGAAATTTGAGGTAACACAAGCCAGTTGCATTCTTATGAGTCTACAAAAATAAAAACGATATTTTAAGGTAAGGTCATGAAACTACTACTTTTTTTAATTGTATTTTTGAAACTAATATAATCCACTTTCTGAAATGTTGATGCAAAGTGGGTGTCAATGGGATGATGTTGAGCATAAAATTAAYAGTGAGAAGCAATGGTATGATGATTGGTGCAAGGTAAGGTCTTGACACTACTACTTTTTTATTGTATTTTTCTTGTTCTCATAATATCGTTTTTATTTTTGTAGACTCGTAAGAATGAAACCGACTTGTGGAACTTCAAATTTCCATATTTGCAAAAGCTGAACTTGGTATGGAGTAGATAAAGCGACGGGGCTAAAAGCCGAGGATATATCACAAGCATGTGAGGATGGTAGTAACAASAAGAATGTGTTTTTGTGTTCTTCCGATAGTGAAGGTGAACAAGAAGTAGATGCACAAGGATCTCCTAATTCATCAACCACTATCAGGTCAAAGAAGCGTAAAAAAMTTTCACCTAGAAGGGAAATTTACAAGAACAAGAAATCACCTTCACTTCAAAATACCATTGACACGAGGTTAGATGAATTTAATTCCAAGTTTGAGTCTATCTGTGGTCAAATGATGTCACAGTATGTTGCTACTTCTAATGTTTTGACCGATACTAACAAATCCAATTCTTTGAGTGATCAGAAGATGCAAGAAGTCATGAATGAACTTCTTWGTATTGGAATATCTACCGTGATATTGGTAAAGCTCTTGAATTTTTCTATGATGAACCAACCAAAGCTAAGGTCTGGTTTACGTTGCCAACTCACATCAGAAGATCGTACGTGTTTGGGTTCTTGTATCTTGTTAATCAATGAATTTGGACCTTAAACATAATCTTTTGGTATGCATTTTGAAGTTGGTAGGCTATGTAAGCCTCTTTTTGCTATTGTAGTTTGAAGTTTGATGAAACAATRAATTGTATTGTATTTTTGAAGTCGGTTGAAACATCCAATTGTATTGTATTTTGAAGTTGGATGAAACATCGAAATGTATTGTATTGTATTTTTGAAGTTGGATGAAACATACTTTGTATTGTGTTTTTTGAAGTTATGTTTAAATGGTAAATTGATTGGTTAATGTTATAAAAATGGTAGTAYAATGCTACAAAACCAAATTCCAGTTATTATATATGCTAAACATCCAAACAGCATCTATGATAATGATCATGATTTCCCAGTATTAACCAAACAACATTAATGCAATATTCATTCCAATTTTCATTTCCTGTCATTGTCATTTTCATTCCCTTGCCTAAATCAAACARGCGCTTAATGGGTTTGGTATAATGGGCCCTTTATATTATATCTAACCAAACCATATTTKTCATTATCATTCCTAATCCTTACCCCTCAATACTCCCAACCAAACACCCCATAGAAACCAACACATTTGGCTCTTCTAAGTCAAAATCGACTTTGATATAACTTAGCATGATTAAGAACTAATCTTCAATACAGTAACATGTCAACTTAGGTCATGAAGAAATATCATATGAATGGGACTCTGATATAACATAGCATGATTAAGAACTAATCTTCAATATAGTAACATGTCAACTTAAGTTATGAAGAAATATCATATGAATGGGACTTTGATATAACGTAGCATCTTTCGTTGTTCCATTTGATTACGTAATGAGGTGGATGTAAGTCCTCAACACCTTAACAACTACAATTAGATGGCTATGAGTCCATGATCCATCTCTACAAAAAACAATCATGAAACCAAATGAAAAAATCATAGATAAGTGTTGGTAATTCAACAAAATGTTATCAATCATGAGACCATAGTATATTAATTGTAAAATACTAACAAAATGCTATCAACCATGAAACCAAATGAAATCAGTTACAAGGTAATTCATATATCACTTGTAAATCAAACATCATATGTTAATAGTATTGGTAATTCAACAAGAGGAAAAATATATCACTTGTAAATCAATTCCCTTGGGAAATCAACAAGAAAAAATCGATTTTCTTGGGAAATCATCAAGCACGACAAGAATTACAAGAAAAATCGATTTTTTTTCGAAATCGTTATCACATAGGCCAAACAAGAAGAAAAAATAACAACAATAATGAGAACACATTAAGCTAAACAATAGAATTCAAAATAAAAACACATTTATTAAAGTAATTTCCGCAAAAATCAGCAAGCACAACAAGAATCACAAGAAAAATCGGTTTTTTTAGGAAAATCGATTATCACATAGGCTAAACAAGAAGAAATCATAGATTCAACAAGAAGAGAAATCGAGTTATGTAGACAACAGAAAGAAATCATAGAGRAGGAAACGATTTAGGGCAAAATGCGCAAAATAGCAACCTACTTTCACAAATTTCCTTATTATAGCATTCTACTTTCAGTTTTTCTTATTACAGCAATGTACTTTTAAAATATTTTTTATTAGGGCATTGTACTTTCAAAAATTTACCCATTATAGCATTGGGTAACCTGTTACCTTTTGAACAGGTTTTTCTTTGTTGACGTGGCAAATTTAAAATGACATGGAAACCATGTAGGATAACATATTACACATGGATATCCTACTTGTCATTTAAAAAAAATTAATGTAAAAACAATTTTTGAAAATGAAAAACCTTCATCCCTCTCATTGTTAGACCGTTCCTTCTCTTCCTCTTCTTGATGACTCTTCATTCACCCACAAACCCTCAATCCCTCAATCGCACACATCGTGTTCCTCTTTGGCCTAATCGACTCTCACCATCTTCTTCC